CTAGATTAAGTTAGTCCGCTAGGCAAAAGCCTCAGGCATCGATCCTAAAATTGAAGATTGCGTTTCGTTCCGGTGGTTGTCATAGGAATAGAACCAGCTGCACCAACAAACCAGGAACGAAGACCCTTCAATCCCTGGAAACTCACATGCAAGCTAGCGATCCCAAATTGAATTTTCTTATCGAGTCTGACCTCTTCAGCAAGGTTGAAGACATGCCAGACAGGCCGAAGTTTTAGCTCACCCTCTCAACGCTGAAGGCCATTATGCAACCAAACAGCTAAAGACAATGTCCCAAGCGAAAGCCCAAGACCGAGACCCAAGACTCAAGGCGGAAGCGGCCTCCAGCACCGCAGCATCTGGAGCTTCAACCGCCGCTGCTTGGCCACACAGCGACCCTGGAGCCCTCGCCAGTGCTGCTGGACCTTTGAGCAGGGTTTGGGTTGCTGCCTGAAGACGATCTGTGACAACACCAAGCTGATGAAGCTGTTAGAAGGGACCTCCACTTCCTGCTCTCAGGGTTTACAGACTTAGGACCGCAAGACCGTCACTTAGAGTAGTATTGAAGCCTGGTGGTCCGGGGCTTTGTGTGCAAACCTGACTCGAAAGGGTTCCAGCACAAGCCACCCCAATAGCAACACGATTAGCAATGCGAGTCTCAAATCTGTAGACTCTACAAGTAGCTAATGGGTCTTGGCCTTAGGGCATGACAAATTAGATCCGAAGCTATCAACTTCCAGAACGAGTTTTGGGAGCAAGGAACCCGGAGGGCAGCAAGATGACCGCTCTGCAGAAACAGGAAACGGCGCCAGCGTGCCAGGGATAGGGCAAAAAGAAGCCTTGTGGCCGGCAGCAGAACGGTCCTGCCCGTACGTGTGGGGAAGCTGCAATGAAGCCATTAGCTGGGTCGTTCGAAGCTGCTGTTGTGGGGTCAATCTTAATCCCCTACTGCTACTTCCATACTAACGAAACTTCTGCAAAGCCTAGTTCCTCAGAGCCGTGATACAGCTTATCCGAGGCAGCCCTGAAGAGACTCTATGCGACTATGCACTATGCAGATCTGCAAACAATGCCGAGCGCTCACTCACGACCAAAGAACCAGGGAGCAAGCAAGCCCTTCATGTATTGATAGGCATAGTCGGTTGGTGACCAGTTTGGACATACGTGCTGACACACCTGTCAAACCCAATAAGTCGCGTGAATCTGATCTAGCAGCGGCAGAGGAGTGACACTCACACCATTATACAGAACCAACAAAACCGTGTGCGCAGACAAATGGCCACAGCCTGGAAATCCTTCCTCATCGAGACGACGCTGTTGCTAGCACGACAATAAGAACAACAACTACAACTGCTACTACTGCTACTACTGCTACTACTACTGCTACTGCTACTACTACTACTTCTTCTACCAATACTGCGATGGCTACGACAACGACTACGACGACTGCTACTGCTACGGCTGCTACTCCTGCCACCACTACTACTACTCCTACTCCTACTCCTACTCCTACTACTACTACTACTACTACTACTACTACCGCTACTACTAACTACTACACTACTACTGACTACTAACTTTTATATAACTACAAACAGCTACAACTTGACAACTACAACTACAAGTACTGCTGTTACTAGTCCTGCTCCGGCTCCGACTAAGACTGCTGCTGCGCTGCTACTGCTACTGCTACTGCTACTGCTACTGCTACTGCTACTGCTACAGCTGCAGCTACAGCTACAGCTACAGCTACACCTACAGCTACAGCTACTGCTACTATCACCATCCCCAACCATGATTTCCACACCCCCCCCCCCCAGGATACATTACCTGCTGGGTAACCCCAAGGAAAATTAATGTATCCAGCCACCCCTGCACCCGGTTATCGTCCTATGGGGGTCGGAGAGGGCCGGGCTTTGGTGTTCGACTTGCACACTCGCTCAATGCAGGCACGACTTGCACACTCGCTGAATGCAGGCACACTCGCTGAATGCAGACACGGCCTGCCTTGTTTTCTCGACTCTCCACTGTGTCACGCTGCCGGAGGCTAGTCGTCGACCTCCTAGGAAGGTCAAAGAAGAAGCCTGATTTTCAGGCTGTCGGCAGCGCTGCCGGAGCTTTGTCGTTGAGCTTTCTTAGGAAAGTCAAAAAAGCCTGAGTGCCCCGAAGCTTGGTGGGCGCTGTTTCCTGGAAGATCCTGTAAATCCGCATGCTGTAATCCTTGGCGTTTGCCGCGACAGATTTTCCATGCAGATCCTTGGTGGAAAGCAAAAGCTCGAAGTACAACGGGCATCGCTGCACTATCTCATCCCAAACTCCAGGGACAGGAAACGACGAGGATCGCATCGCCGTGACCCTGCCCTGGGCGTCCGCCAGCGGCTGTCCAGACGTCTTCTCATACATCTTCTTCATCTCTCGCATGTAGCTTTTGATGGCCAAAGCTCCCTTTGCAGAGGGTCCGAACATGTCTGCCGTGTAGATCATGCCTTCTTCGCGGGCATCCTCCGTGGCCTCCATCTTGAAGTCCAAGCCCTCAGCAGCCTTCAGAGCTTTCACGGCTGCCGATGTTAGCTTGAGCACCAGCTTGTAAGGGTCCGCACCCGCCCTGCACTGAGATGCCGGGATCTGATACAAGATTTGCGGGGCGGAGCAGTCGAGGCTGTGGCACTCCAATGTCATCCGCTTGTGCAGCAGGGTCGTCTTGAAGACTCCTTCTTGAAAGGGCTCCATGACTCGCACGTGCACTCCTCCACAGAAGTCCTGCGGAAGTGCAGCCGGAAACGGCTTGCTGCCAGGGACTTTCTTGTCCCGTCGCATCGACAGGCGGAACACCTCTTCCACAAGGCAAACCATAGGCTCGCCAAGCACATGCTCTCGCACCACGATGAATTGATAGTCACGGGTCCCAGAGTCACCTAGGCTGGGAACTTTTCGCGATGTTTAGGGTTTAGGGTCAAGCATGGAGGGCTTTGGGCTTCAGGATGCTTGAAGACACTACTTTGGAGGAACTAGGAAACAGTCAATCTATGCTGTTGCGAGCCGACTGGCTCAAGATAAAGCTGGGACGATAGACATCCACGACGGAAGCAGCTTCCGGAGCAACCTCCTGGACCTTGTCCGCAACCAGTCCAGCGTAGCTCCTCCAGGCATCAGCTCTGCTTGTCCTCCTCCCGGCGAGGCCCCAAGCACGACGTGCCTGAGCCAGCTGTGCTTGCATATCCTGGAATGCATTGAGGCGCCGAGGATTTCGATCGCCCAGCACGGCATTCTCAGACAAGAAGCCCTCGCTGGTTCGCACCTTTTCCAGAAGTGCCACCATCAGAGGCTGCAGCTTGCGAAGTCTCTCCACGGCTGCCTCGGGCGTGCCGTCCGCAGCGGGCTTGTACGTGTGGAAGCCACCTGCTGTCAGGGAAGTGTCCGAACCTAAGGCCTCAATCATAACCAACTTCCTTGTTTTACCTAACGATGCGAGCAAGGATCATGCAACCAGCATCTGCCACAAGGTCGCAGGCTCTGCCGGTGCCAAAGTCTCTGCAACCACAGCCTCCGTTGTCGTCTCTGTCGCAGCTGCAGCCTGCTCGGGCTTGGGCGGCGACTGCATGTCCTCCAACAAAGACTGCTCGATGACAGCCTCGCGCTCCAACATGCGAATGCCGTGCTGGATGCTGCCGGCCTGAGTAGATGCCACCTTGTCATTCTCGTCCTCCTCCTCGGATGCCTCTTCGGCGAAGGGGTCCACATTGTTATCCGCCATGTCCGGAGTGCACCCTGCGAAGAACATCGCAGAGCCCTCCTCCTCGAACCAGGCTTCCAAAGCGGCGGACACGGCGTCTGGCGAGTCCTGCACGGCCGCGACGGCCCGCAAAGTGGTGGCCGCAGCAAGAGCACGGGTCGCGATCTGGCTCACCTGCGAGGGTTTTGAGATGGGCAACTAGGATAGCTGAGCTTTGTTTGTCTTTGATCTCGGCAGGGCCTCGCCGGCACTCAGGTTCTGGCCGCTCCAGGTAACAGTCTTTGACGGCAGCTGGAGGCCGCGATGCTTCTGAGACCAGTGAAGTCGTTCAGCAGCCAGCACGAACGCCTTGAGCGACGGCACATTGTGTCCAACAGCTCTCTTTACCTGGCCGAACCAGTACTCCACGACCTCGTGAGGTCAGGGGATGCTAACGAGATTTCATGCGGTGAGGCTCAGGACAGGAGGGGCTACAAGGGACGAGTCTTAGATCTTAGAGCGAGAGGCTGACAAAATTAGTCACCCTACCTGCTCGGTGTTTTTCGTGGGAGCAAAGGCCAAGCTGCCGTCGGAGTTCGGGTATCGGCATACCCACTCGATCATGTTAGCACAGCAAAAGAGGCTGTTTCGCACCGTTGCCCTGGCCAGGAACTGGTTCTGCCAGTTGCTACCACCAGCCTGCCGTGCTGCCATGACTTCGAGCAACAGCCAGAAAAAGCCGGTGAGCCCGTTCTCCAAGAGCTGAGGCGGGGTGAAGACGGCAGAGAGCCAGTTGCCGCTCACGCAAGAGACGAGGTACCTTGGATTCTGTTGCTTACGCATGGCTGTGATCGCGCTTAGAAGGACAAGTACTAGGCCAAGATGCTGAAAGAGTGTCACGGCGACACTGTCCCAGGCATCCATATCTAGGCATCTCGGAGCTAGCGCCCATGCGGCCTCTCTGTCGCTCTGAAGGTCGTGCCCGATGTAAGCGTGCAACGGCATCTGCATCGTCGGGAGCAGCTGAACGCTGCGGGTCATCCAAAGGCCGCAGATGGTGAAGCAGCGTTTGCGGCCCCGAGTGGCCGATACCATGTTTTTTTGGCAGTGTGCCGCATCATTTTGGTTCAAGATTATGTGCCCGTTGAACTCTAATGAGCGGAAGGGGTACATCATGATGGGCAGCTTCCGCGTGTGGTTGCACTCTTTGAAGAACCTTAGGTTCTATGGATGACACAAAGGGGGGTTATGTTGCAGGACGTCGCTAAAACCTTCGTGGATTATCTAGGAATCAGCAGTCGGGAGGCGGAACATCCGCCAAACGCTCCAGCGGAACCAGGCCGAGCATCACCTCGCTGAACACCACCTGCGTCGTGGCGTTGTCATGGCTGCTCGCAAGTGGCGGAATGCCACCGTTACACTCGGCAGCCAGCTCCCACAGTTTGCCGATCTTGCAGAGATTGCTCTGGCTCGTGATGGCCTTGAGGCGTCTCGGCTGGAGAAGGACGCAGTACGGGTGGCGGAAGGTCTCCACCCGCTTCCTGGGATCCGAATACAGATGACTGCATAAAGAAAGAACTCCACTAGACAATCGCACACCTAGGCAAGCTTGATTCTAGGCGATGAGCTGAGAGTCACTAGAACTGCAAAGACACACTGGGCCAGGTTTTCCTTCTTCAAGTCGCTCGCATAGTGATCGGAGCATGGCAGCATGGACATCTCATCCCCGCCACCTACATAGCAGCGCCCGTGGCTGCGACTGTTGTAGATGCCGTAGGCCGGCCACGTCACAGTCTCGTCGAAGGACAAGACCCAGGACCGCGACTGGGCCACACCCAGGATCCCGATCGTCGTCTGCAGGTTGCGGAACAGGGTCGACCTCATGCCTGCTTGCTCCGGCTCTTCGGCGGAGGCACAGAAAAAATCCGGCAAGGCTTCGTCGAACGATGGCGGCTTGTTCAACTCGCGAGGATTCAGACCGAAGAGCTCCATCAACTGACTGGTGCTGCTGATGCTTGCCAAAAAGAAGCCGACGTCCTGGAGCTGGGCGTCCGTGACGCCTTGGACGTGGCTTGTTGTCAGCCGCTTCTGGTTCGCCGACAGCAGCCTGAGTCGCGTTGCTAAGCAACTCATGAGGACTCGGCAGCACTCCATGCTGTCGAGCCTGCCCTGCCGCAACTCTTCGGAGAGCATGCACGTGAACCCGGCCTCGGTCTCTTGCCCGACTAGGAACTCGAGATGTTTTTGCAAGTGCTGACGGTCCAGCTTGTTGATGGCATCTTTGTTGACAGTGGTCGGGAGCCACTGAAACCTGGTTCTGAGGAGGTTCAGCGCCGCAGAGTTCTGAAAGGCTGCCGGTGTCGTCACTGGGGCCTGCTGTCGCACCACTTGGTGCAGCTCCGGCCACGTCATGGTTTCCAGCTGGGCCACCGAGTGGCAACTCAGGACTCGACGATAGTCTGCACTGCCGAGGGCCTGGAGTGCCTCCCTCCTTTCCTTCCGAACCGCAGCATATGTTGCATGCAGAAGACACAGCAAGTCCACTAGGTAAACCCATGAGGCTACTTTGGATGCGAAGGCCTCCTTGTTTGCGAGCTTTCGGCAGTTCACACAAGCATCCTCGCCCGGCTGCAGCACGGCAGGGCTCGTTTGACAGGGCCGGCATCGCACCCAGCAGATGACCTCGGAGTCCACAGTCTCCATGTAGCAGCCATGCGGGAGGGACTGCTGGCCAGACCAGGGAAAGTCCAGGCCCATCCAGACTTGCAGCGAACGGGTGCACGTCTCGATGTGATACTCCTGGCTGGACTCGGATCGTGGGATGATCTTCACACCTCGGCACTGCCTCGGTATCTCATCCGGGTGGGCCCGGGTCCAATGCATGTCGTAGCATTCATGCTGCAGCAGGAAATGGATAGTGGAGTCTCGCTTTGCGTCGACTTCAACCTCGCAGAGGGTGCAATGAAACTTGAGAGCATGGGTGTGGATGTACACGTCGCTCCTCCTATCTTTGACCCAATCCCACAAACGCATCCAGAGAGGAAGCACCGACGTCTTTGATCGCCGTCCTTGAGGGGAAGAGGGCAGTCTGAGTCATGAGCATGCATCCTACAAGCAGAACCAAGCCAAGGCGACCCCTGTGCAGACTAGACATGATACGATAGTTCCCGGAGGGGCCTTTCGGAACAGGGCCCACGCCCTCCTCCCTCTTGAGCACCTCCAGGCGCTCAGCACCGGTGATCTTGCTCCGAGGCTGTTGTGGTTTCAGAGCGGCGGGATCCAGGAGCACCACCTCGCCAGCCGGGACCTCATCGCCCTCGCTGGGCACCACCAGCTGCTGTTGCTGCTGGACCTTGCTGGCATCCAGGGAACGGAAGAAGGTAGAGCAGGACCTGCAACCCAGCGAACCAATGGAGTCCGCTGCCAGCTTGAGCTTGAACTGGTTCCAGTGGCCCTTGACCCCGTGAAAGGAGTGGACCTTGAACCAAGCTGGGAAACCAGTACCATAGGCTGCCAGCATGGCATCAGCTTTCTTCAGCAGGAGCTTCTCCTCCTTGGTGGGTTTCTTGCTCGCCTGAGCACCGCTCAGCTTTGCAGGAGGCTGCCCAACCAAAGCAGTCAGGGGCACCTCTTCATCGGCATCGCCATCGCAAGCCGGCTCGGTCTTCACCTCCATCTTCACGTCCTCCGTCGCTGCCTCCTGAAACTCAGGTGGGTCAATGTCCATGTTGCTGTCAGCAGCCTCCTTCTTCACGAGCGCCTCTGAAGCAGCATGAGTGGTCTCTGAGCCGGCAACACGAGGCACCTTCCTGGGCGGGGTGCCTACAGGGCTCTCCGAGGGAGGCTCCAGGACGATCAGGCTCTCGGGGAAGCAGCTGGACAAAGGCATGCCGAATGTAGGCGCTGCCTCTGGCTTCACAGATAAGCCTGCACCGTCTCCCGGCCGGGATGTCATGCTTCGCACACTTCGCAGAAGTTCTGACGCTGGGGCACGGCAGGCTTGGCACGACGTTGCCGTGCCTTCGAAGACAGAGGCATAGAGCTGGGTCACCTGGTTTGGGCCATACAGGGAGTGCTCGCCATGCCGGCAAAGGTACTCGAGAACTTGTTCAGCATCACGGCACAAAGCCGAGCCCGAGCATTCCGTGGCCTGCAGACTCAGGCCGTGGCTGTCAAAGAGAAGCAAGGCACAACCAGAGCTCTGATGACCACAGCCCACGACCACGAAGGACTTGTGGTTGCAGACGAAAAAGTAGGCGGCTGACTGCAGTCGTGTGAGGGACAGCCTGTGGCCGAGTGCCAACTCTGTCGCCTCTTGCAGCTTCACACCGCATGCTATGTGAGAGAACGTCGCATCTGTCAGAAAGGGCCGGAGGCAGTTCCATCGAGGGCTGTCCCGCAAATGCCCGTGCAGCACCTCATGCTGCACTTCCTCGGGCAAAGTGTACATGTCAAGCTCAATGTTCAACTCTGCCTGTTGTCGCTCACGGACGACTGCAAGGTATTCAGACATGAGAGCAGCACCTTCTTTCAGCAGGGACCGCAGCACCGGCGCTTCGTCCCACGGCTGTTCCAGCCAACGACATATGAAGTCTGGATTCGGATGCTTGTACCAGGCAGAGCAGAAGAGCAGACAGTTCACAGTGCAGGATACGCTGGAGTTTGGGCCAATGGAGGGATCGGCCTGGTTGATGTCAAAGCAGGCGTACAGCGCCACCTCAGCCTGTCACGGATCGGTTCTTTCCTAGAAACTACCGGACACAGTAATGTATCCAGGCACCCCTGCACCCGGTCCAGGGGTCCGAGGATACATTACCGGGTCCGGGAAGCCCCCAGCAAACCCTGCCCCAGGCTAGGAGTCGTTGGTTGCAAAGGTTCTGGATTGTCGGGGTTACGGTTTCTGGGGTGACACACGACATTGCCTGGGAGCCACCGACAGCCTTAATGTATCCAGGCACCCCTGAACCCGGTCCCGGGGTCTGAGGATACATTACCGGGTCCGGGAAGCCCCCAGCAAACCCTGCCCCAAGCTAGGAGTCGTTGGTTGCAAAGGTTCTGGATTGTCGGGGTTACGGTTTCTGGGGTGACACACGACATTGTCTGGGAGCCACCGACAGCCTTAATGTATCCAGGCACCCCTGAACCCGGTCCCGGGGTCTGAGGATACATTACCGGGTCCGGGAAGCCCCCAGCAAACCCTGCCCCAAGCTAGGAGTCGTTGGTGATGGATGTTTTGGATTATGGTATGTTAGGATGGACTACGGTTTGTGGGTGACACACGACATTGCCCGGGAACCACCGGGAGCCGTAATGTATCCAGGCACCCCTGAACCCGGTCCCGGGGTCTGAGGATACATTATCGGGTCCGGGAAGCCCCAGGGAAACTACCGTGTGGCCTGCATGGAAGACCAGTCTTGCTGCCAGCAGTGGTTCACGAGGCTTGCAAAAGGACTTGTGAGCAGAAACAGCTCCACATCATCAGCCACGAGCTTCTGCATCTCCGGCTGCGATAAGTCCCGAAAGCTACCAGGATCCCCATGCGCATGCACGGCACTGAGCTCTGCCATCGTGGCGGTCCACGCAGCACGTTGCTGCTTCCAAGGCAACCTAAGCACATGTCAAATGCTGCTGCACCCGAGTACCATCCAAGAAGGGCAGAATATGCCGAAGCCCTGCTGCTACATCGTGTCTTCCAGACATGCGAAGAAACCCATAGAAGCCAGAGGCAGCAAGCTGGACCTTCGTGTGCGGCATCTGGATGCAGCATCGCACGGCAGGTGGGAGGCCAGCAAGACAGTCCGGCTGCTTGGGCATGTCCTCCATCTTGAACTCCTGCTGTTCCAGCACTAACGGGTGAGCCAGAAGAGTCAGCAGTTAAAGCTGGAAAGAGCAGGTGGAGGGAGTCCTGCTTGTCATCGGCAGGAGGTGTCAGAGGTGCCGGCAACGGCGGCGGTTCAGGCATGGCATCCTCCACCCATTACGCTCACTTTGGAGTCAACGTGATGCACTTGAACCCTGGCCTCTGCTTGGTCGTCGGCCGGCTTCGGCATGAGATCGGGGACCTGAATCGCACACGGGTCCAGGCCGTCAATGTATGTATGTCAAGACAGAGTCAGCAGCCAGAGGGAGCAGTTGCCGAGGCAGCGACCGAGCCAAGAAGATCATGGCCACCCACGGCAATCACAGGCACCTGAAGTCGGATGTGGGCAGGCTGCCAATCCCCAGCTCCCACGACTCAGGCTCTTGCAGGAGGTTCCAGGACAGAGAGCATGGCCTCCGGACACGTGTCATGCTCGGATAGTCTCCGACTGAAGGTTCCCCCCAAGCCATCTATGACATGCTGTCCCTGTGAAGACTAGGCGGCCTTTTCAGTCGACTGCTCTTGAAGTCATGACACAGAGTGCCTCCGTGATCTACCACGAAAGGAGCCGTGCACGAAAGAGCGGCTCGTGACCAGCACGAGCTTACTTCTTCGTCTGTACAGAAGATGCCCTGGGGTTCTTCGGCCCCTTCTCGGCTTCCGGCGTTCGCGGAGCCAGCCTCTTCTTTCCCTTTGGAGTTGGAGTCTTGGGACTTGGAGTCAATGCCATGGCCAGGGCAGACCAGTCAGGCTCGATCGGGCGGCCTGCCACTGCCAAGCTTGGTCTGTCCGGCTTGGGCTCCTTCTCGGCTTCGGGCGTTCGCGGAGCTGGCCTCTTCTTTCCCTGTGGAGTTGGAGTCTTTGGGCTCGGAGTCAATGCCATGGCTAAGGCAGACCAGTCAGGTTCGATCGGTCGGCTCGCCACTGGCCGAGGCAAGCTTGGTGTGTCCGGTGATGGGATACTCGGATGCATGTAGTCTTCGTCATCTCCAAGACTCGGCATCAGCCCTGCCCGCACACCTGGCGAATCCGCGACTGTAGTAGGAGACCATGTCTCCAGCGGGGCACGAACACGGCCGTAAGGAGACTCAGAAGAAGGTGGACTGCAAATCTGCGAGGCCTTCGTTGCTTTCTTTGCAGGACTGACGATGACACTCGGCTTCTGGGCACGATCGTCCATCAGGACAGTGTCGCAGCCGTCGGGCTTAGCAGGGACACCAAGCTCAGCAATGCGCCGGTCCATCACGACAGTGTTGCAGCAAACAGGCTCAGCAGGGAAGCCGGTGGCAGCTGCGACAGGCACACATGTTATAGCATCTCCACACGCCGACATCTTCTTGGCACTATATAGGGGGGGGTCAAGCAACGGGGGCTTAGGGACAGGACAGGGTCACGGTGAGTCAGACGACAGATCGCAACACGGCCACCGTGCAGCCAACCCTCACCTTGTTGATGTGCTCAGGCGCCGCCGCGAAGTCCGGAGGAGCAGCACCCTGAGCAATGGATGGCAGTATATCCACACAAACACGCAACGATCAGCTTCCCATGGGCTGATCTCAGCACCAAAGTTTCAAGGCTGCAAGGATACCTTAAGGCCAGTACCACCGAAGCAGCCGGACACGAGCCCAAGCTCACACCAGGAACCTAAGGCAGAGCAAGCAGCTGCACTCACAGCAAGAGTCACGGATCCGAGGCAGCAGCAGGTTCGATCGCCGGAGCTCCAGCTGGGACCTTACAGGAAAGGATTCGGCAACGATCCTTGACTGTGCACTCGTCAGAGCGAACCCAGCAGGCAAGACCGAACCCAGCAGGCACTCTCTTTTCACACTCCGGCCTCCCGCAATGCCAGCAGCAGCATCCTACGGAAGGAGAATGGCCACTTTGCCGCCCTGACCCTCTTCGTGGCCTTCATAAAAAACAGGGCCTTCCGCATGGCCTTCATCGCCTTCTTGAATCTCCGCTCCCTCATGAAAAGCTCGGACTGCCGCATGCAACGTCTGGCCTTGCGGATCAGAGCCCCCTGTCGAAGCCACCGGAGGAGGTGGAAGTAGCAACGCCCCATTGAACCGCCAAACGCCAGACTCTGCAGGATGCTGGGCCGCTGTTGAATATGTGGCCAGATGTCAACCTCCGCAGGCTGCTGGGTAGTTCTATGCCCTCAAAGCTATGGCTCGGATATGTGGCCAGATGTCAACCTCCGCAGGCTGCTGGGTAGTTCTATGCCCTCAAAGCTATGGCTCGGGCAGCAATCGGCTGCGATCAAGGCTTCGGATCAAATGCTGGGGTCACGATCCCACACAACCAAAGGTCACATGTATGCGCTGCTTGGACCAGGCACTCACATTCAGCTCCAGTCCAAGGCCCGGGCATTCGTGCCAGAACCTTCTCCAGGAAGTGGCGATGTCGAATCCCCCAAGAGCTCCTGAGGCAAGGCAGATTACCAAAGTCCAGGCTTTCAGGAGATCCAACCTTGTCATCGATCATCGGATCGCGAGCCTGAGCAGCATACAAGCCAGAAGCACAGACCACCGAAAGCCCAGTGCGAGATTGAGGCCAGGACCACATCCTCCGGCTTGCCAGACAGCTCAGCGACCTCAAGGACGAGAGCAGAAAGGAGAACACTGAGCATACAAAGTCCAGGGTCCAGGCCGGTGGCACGACGGAATGGGCAGGGACCTGGCCAAGGAGAACAGGCAGGGTTCGAGGTTCGGGGTTTTCGCTTTGGGGTTCGGGTTCAGAGGGATCGGGCTGGGTTTTGGGTTAAGGGAAAAGAGGGAAGGGCAGGCAGGGGGCTTCGGCTTTCAGGGTGGCTTCACACAGGGACCTTGATAGGCACTCCTACCCACAACAACGGGTTCGGGTGCCCTGTATCCTTACAAGGGGCGGGTCGAGGGTCTAGGGCAGCCCTGGGGGAAACCCACAAAGAGACGCTCACATTTCCAGATAGTTCGTTCCTGCACACCAGGCTGCATCGTGTGTGTGTGTGTGTGTGTGTGTGTGTGTGTGTGTGTGTGTGTGTGTGTGTGTGTGTGTGTGTGTGTGTGTGTGTGTGTGTGTGCGTGTGCCGAATACCCCCCCCCAAGCATCTACATGAGCTATCCCGGCCAATGCCCAGGTGAAACCCCATACTGAATTAAAAACCCCGGCACCCCTGCACACACATACACACAATGAAACTCACCCCTCGTGTTGATGTGAAACATCGGATGCTCTGTGCTGTGTTCTGCTGTGCGGTTGTGCTGCTATGTGTGTGTGCCGCCTCCGTGCTGTGTGTTGCTGCTATGTTTATGCTGCGTGCTGTGTGCTGCTCATGTCAGATTGGCGAACCGTGAGACATAGCGCCCAAAACTCAGGCATCCTGGGTGCAAAGCAAAGCTTTCCGAAGATGTCAGATTGGCGAACCGTCTCGACATAGCGCTCAAAACTCAGGCGTCCTGGGTGCAAAGTCTTCCGAAGCCAACGCCTTGCCTTTGCCCTTGCCCTTCTGCACATCCTCGTCTGAGCTGGAAGCCAAGGCCTTGCCTTTGCCGGCTTTGCCATCTTTGCCCGTGCCTTTGCCCTTGGGGGGCTCGTCATCGCTGCCATCGTCGTCGCGAGCGGGAGGCTGCCACGGTCCAAAGAAGAAGCGGTTGTGCTCCTCGACGTCATACGTCTTCTGGCCATCGTCCTGCCTCTTGTCGTCGTCCTGCTTCTTGTCATCGTCCTCCTTGTCATCGTCGGAGCCGTCGCTGATGGGCAAGTGCCTGTTGATCCGGCGGGCCATGGAAAACGTGATCCTGTTCACCAACTTCAGGTTGCCATCCATGCCACCAAGCTTCTCCGACAGCCCTCGCACCTGTGCCTCCAGCAAGGCTATCCTCTCCTCCTTTTCGTCGTCGCCTTTCTTCTTCTGTGCACGCTGGGCGGGCTTCTTCATGACCTTCATCGTCTTCGTTGGCTTCATGGCCTTCAAAGCCTTCGGAGCCATCCAGATCTGTTAAGGCCAAAGGTTCAAAGTGGACCAGAGGGAAATGCCAGGGCGGATATCGACTACAGCAAAGGAGCAAGCACTGAATCACTCCAGGCGATCACAGGCCCATCAGATCGGCAGGGTCAAATCACTAGAGGAATCTAGGATAAGCCGTGTGTTCACTGTTTACAGCAATGCTTCACCTGCTTGGACCATGTCAATGCTTGACCTAGGGCCCCAATGTCTCCAAGGATCCATAGGCCATGTGATTGAACCGATAATCACAGTCAAGCAAGCTTTCCCCTGGTTTGCTCCACATGAAACAATCAACTGATCCTGCACAGCACTACCGTCGGCACATGTCAGCAGAGCTTCGGAACCCTAACCACGAAGCCCCGAACTCCTTCACCCCGGGCGCACCTCAGCTTCCGCCGGCTTCTGGCTACCATCTGGATCCTGGCAAATGATTGGTGGGTTGCTTAAATCTGCATTCAGAGAACTCCAGAACCAGGCACACCCAAAGTCGACACAACTAATAAAACCCAAGCCACCGGAGTTCCAACCCCTCGCGGGCCTCTGGAAGTGGATGCTGAGGCCGTCTGCCAGTAGCCTGCATCGAAGCCAGGTCCGTATCACAAGCACTCAGTGGAAAGCGAACGGCTGGCCTCATCATCACCAATGGCTCCAGCTGCATTCCCAGCCCCCTGGCAATCATTGAAGTTTCCGAAGCTTTGCACATGCAGGGTTAGGGGGTTCCTCGAGTTCAGAGGCCACTTCCGAATATCCCAAAGTCCCCAACCCGTGGCAAGCCCAAGGCCCAACCACCTCACATGCACAAACCCCCAAAGGCGCACCTCGGGGGCTTCTAGAAGAGGAGGAGCCGGTGCCGAAGAAGCCTGGCGAACAGACTCCACAACACCCTTGGACCAAGGACCATGTTCTCTGAGGATATGGCCGGGGGCGTGCCACCAGAGGAAACAGGAACCTTCCAGTGGTCAAAAGGTCCGAACGTTTCAGCAAAACCATCCAAAGTCCAAGGTCAGAGCTGCCTGAAGGCCACTGTCAGGAGCCTGGCAGGGAAGACACCGGGGCAAATCAAGGAACAAACCAAGCGAGCCACAACCCATCCGACCTCCTCCTCCGTTGCACTGCCGTCCTCCGGCCAGTGTCTGGCGGCTCTCTCCTTGATGCTCTCTGGCACCTGGCACATGCTTTCATACCCACCGCATCCGACCGCCGACTGAAATCCAAGGCCCCGGCTGGATGCAATCCTTCTGCTTGTGCCCACTTGTCGGCCTGGCTTGACGGACAGTGGTTTGTTGGGTGGCCTACCTATCTCATCCCCCCCTTGCCTGGATCTTCGACTTGTACAACTCCGAGTAGATCCCCCGGTCGTGGTCAATGAAGCGGAAGGAAACTGGGAGGCGTCAGTAACCAAACCCCACAAATGCCGCATGCAGCCCGAATGGAGAACAAAAAGAAACTGAGTGGAGTGCACACCCGACGACTGCCATTGTAGGTCCGGAGCTTGCAATGCCATGGCATGCGGAAAGTTTGCAATGTGCTTCTATGTCTGTCATGTCTAAAACCCAGTGCCGACATAGTGGCTTACTAAACCCGTCCCCCTACGCCGTAATAGTGGCTTAAGTTAGAGATATAATTATAGTACGACCCAGTGCCGACATAGTGGCTTACTAAACCCGTCCCCCTATGCCGTAAAAGTGGCTTAAGTTAGAAATATAGTTATAGTACGACCCAGTGCCGACATAGTGGCTTACTAAACTGCCCGTCCCCCTATGCCGTAATAGTGGCTTCAGATCCAAAGTAAATGCTGGGGTGCCATGATCCATGTTCCAGTTTGTGTCGTTCATGCTAGTGCATGGATCATGTCAATCAAAGACTAAAGCCAGCTTCCACATGCGCCTACGAGGCAAAATGCCTGAGGGCAGATAGTGAAATCACAACAAAAATGACATCACACTGCGCACTGCTTCAGATTTCCCGCATATATACATGTATATATATATATATATATATATATATATATATATTGAATTAGCCACCGGAAACTGAGACTTGGAAACAGGCTCCGCGCATGATATTGGAAGACCCCCCCCAGGATACATTACGGCCTGACCCCTCTCAGTGCCTACCCCAGTACCACCCCCCCCAGGATACATTATCTAGGCATGGTGATCTGCTACTGCTGCTACTACTACTACTACTGCTCCTACTGTAGTGCTGCTGCTGCTGCTACTTCTGCTGGCACTTCTGCTTCTGCTACTTCTGCCGCTACTCTACTGCTACTACTACCACTACCGCTACACTCCGCCTCCTCCTCCTCCTCCTGCCCCACCTTCTAGCGCAGCCTGCTGCACAAAGTTGCCGCTCCAGCAACTTCTATGGCAGCTACCTGTAACTATACTTGGCACCTAGAACTGGCAGTGGCCGCTGTAAATTTTTCTTTCCTCCCCATCTACAATATCACCCTCGAATCCTTCGAAGCTGCCGGGCGCATGTTCGTGCTATTTGGCCACGCAGCCAAGCTTGGAGCCTGAAGCTTGGAAGCAACATCTGCAGCTTGAAAATTGTAAGGGACACAATGGGCTCGCTGAAACCCATGTCCTGTAGCTCCCCTGAGGCACAAACACAAAAACCTGGACTTGGACACCGACCCGAAGCCCCGAAGCTCGAATACCCAAAGGCCTCAGGGCTGCCGACGCCCGGACAGCCAAAAGCTGTCGCCACCAGTGGGCGAGTCGCTTGACGGCACAAAGGCGCCGGCGGGACCTCCAACCTCCGGGTTGCAATTGCTGCCAAGCCCGTGGAGTTTTGGGGGGTGGCTCCTCGTCATGCCCTCGCGACGACGCTGGCCGTGTGGGTGGCTACTTTGGTTTGGTGATTATGATTCCTGCCCCACGAGCACGACGACGATTGGAGAATAGTGGTGAGGACATCCACTCATGACGGTGCGCTTGCCTTGCAATTGGTAGTTTGTACTCTGTTTGTTTTAGCTCCGATGAATTTTTCCTGGACCTTGACAATTTCCGGGCTGAGACTGAGGATGACAAGGCCGGCTTCTTTGTACAGGGTAGGCCGGGGTTTTGAGGATTTGGAGATTGTTAAGGTCGCTCAGCTGTGACGGGTTAGTAGTGTTGTTCAGCTGGCAACCAACCACCCGGATTTTAATATGTCAGGCTGGGCCTCCGGAGGGACCTTGTGGGAGTGCCCCCTTTGCACCATGCGAAGGTCGTTCAAGCTTTTGCCAGCCGACCGCGGAGATTTCAAACAGCCCCCTCTCAACCCGTTCTTGAAAGGGTAGAACATCCATCCACACGGCTGTCGAAGTTTTGTTCGGTCCGAGCTCCCAACATCTCTTCTTCTTCTTCTGCAGGGCTTAAGGGGCTGTTTAGGCCCCCAACATCTCTCTCTCTCTCTCTCTGTCTCTCTCTCTCTCTCTCTCTCTCTCTCTCTCTCTCTCGGGCATAGAGGCCGATCAGGGCCTCCGAGCATCGTGCCCACCCGAAGTGTTTTCGGGTTTTCGGAGGCGTGACGAGCGAGCATATACCACCTATCAGCTATTGCCAACATCTCTCTCTCTCTCTCTCTCTCTCTGCCGTGCCATCATCAAGAGTCTCGCAATGCAATGGCACGAAATCGCAGGCTAGAATATCAGAAGGCATAGCGCGAACGCTGAACCTCCGTCATTCTTCGAGCCCACTGAACTGGACAAGAACTTACCTCTACCGCGACTTGTTGGGCCGCGAGCCCTTCAACAAAACAAGGACACGCAGCCGTGCATACAGACTGAAGACTTCCTAGAACCAACAATCTGACGGCAAACGTTCTGCTGAGAAGTTGGGACAAAACAACTGTACAAACATTCACAAATTTGGAGTTGCGCAGCTCCCAACATCGTAGCTCTGAATTCCAAATTGAGCTCCTGCATACCCCTGACGGTAGCAAGAACCAGCACGCGGTGACGGCCTCGCCAGCATCGTTGCAGTCTCCTGACCGCTTGACTTTGGAGTCTAGGGCTGTGCAGGGATAGGACTACAGCCCCCTGTGTGGCCCTTTGTTGTGCAAGCGCGGCACAAAGAGAACCCAGACTGGCTGCTGGACGTGCTTGTTACCGTGTGTAAAACTTGTCGGACTTTCGTTAGGACCATCCGCAGCCTTGTCACTTGTAAGCGAAAGAAGTACAATTGAACAATCCCTGACCTAGGACCTACACCTGTGACGCGAAGCCTGCACCTTGAAGCAGAAGCATTCTGGGCAGTAGCATTTATGAACAAACCATGCTTCTATTCTGATGTAAGTATTCACGAATATGTCTCAATCTTGCGATGGACCCTCGAAGCAACATCGAACTTCACAAGGCGGGCTTCACGAATAGCTAGCTGAACAAGCAACGTCAGCACCGAATTCAGGGGCTTGGGATTTCGAAGCCAATGGGCTGTGTGGCGACAGACGGCTACCCCGTTTTGGGCCGAAATGCTGGAATCATATGGACAAAGAAACCAAACATAGGATTAACTAATACTCCTCGAGGCTATTGGCAGCTCCTCGCCGCAAGGAGCTTTTGGCGGGCGAAGGCAGCTCGGCGTCCGAGGAGACCACGCCAGCAGCACTGGAGTTCAGAATTTGCGACTTTGGGCTTACAAGTGCACGGTTTGGAGGACCATGGTGGCTTTTTCGCTGAAGCTGATCAATATCTTGGAGGTGGGAGTGCTTTATGATTGTAGGATAAGGTAGTGTCGGCACGCTTCTTTTCGGCTTATGGTAAAAACTGGAGGCCGGGTGTCGGTTATTGGTATAGTACCGGGGCACCTTGTGGTGGGTCGCATGTCGCACAGTCGCACTTATGCATAGTGTGTAAATCCCGCTTATGCACTGTCGTTTTTGAACCGATGGAACCCTAGACGCAAGACCGCCAGTCCCAGAGTGCCTGCAGTCGCTTTGCAGCTTCACGGCGTCGAGCCTGCAGAAGCGAAATCTGCATCTGATGCTTCCATGAGGAAGTGTCTATAGGCTCTAGGTAGGTATCGCATGGCATCGCCAATAGGGCGGCTTTGAGGCATAAGCGCGCATGTACAGCGGGATCTCGTTAAGGTTTCTGGCCTTCTTCATCCTCGCCATTTCACGTCGTTTGATCTCGTTCAGCAGCATGGAACACCTGAGCTGTGAGCGGAACGGAAATTGCCCAAAGTCGTCGCTCGAAGCTTAGGCAGGCGAAAGGTCCGAATGCACAAACACCTGCTAGCAGGCTAGCATTGCTAGCTTCCCGAGTTCTGGATTCTGGATCGCTGAACATGAAGACGACCTCACCTACCGCCAAACGACCCCGGGCAGCCGCAGTGTCCTGTTCCGTTGGCGCAAAACACGAAAATGCCATACGATTGGCTCAAACACGACCGAAATCGAAGGAAGTATACCAATTCAGCGAGCAGCAAGGAAGTCCTAGTAGCCTAGAGTCCTAAGACACGTCCATTGACCGTTGACCAGGAAGGCGAGGCGCAAATAGCCCCGCATGCGCGCCTGCCACAGCCTTGAGGCTGCCATCTTCAAGCGCATCTCCCGGGCGCGTCTCCTTCTCCATTCACCTGAATTGGACCCTCAGCATCCCTCAGCCCAAGCTGGAGCTCCGCCATCCCGAAGCCCAGGCCCTGCGACTAGCCCCCAAGCCGCCCACGAGTTTACTTGTTAGCAGGAAGCTGCAGGGCTTTGCCTCTGAGAAACTCCAAGATATTTTGGTTTGAGATTGCCGACAAGACCTGCTTACAGCTTTCCGCGGAGCACTGGAAACCGGACGCAGCCCCACTGAAAAGAATTTCTTTGGAAGAGCCAAAACCTAGAGTTCTTCGGCTGAGGGTCTTCAACAACGTTTCTAAAAGCCGCATCGGCTCAACCGCTCGAAGGTAGGCTCCCCATCAGATCTCCCATACCGAGAATGCAATTTGAATTCACTTTTCAGGATGCAGGCACGGACCCGACGCTGAAGAATCCTTGCCGCACTCTGGCGTGCGATGATCTCTCCCCGGTGTCGTACCAGAAATCCGCGCACAAATCGGGCGATGGTAACCTGTCAGGAACGAGGACAGGGTTGAGGGTTTGGGAGTTTGGGGCCTGCGTTCCAAGCTTTCCGACTTGTACGATATGGATCCCGCACTCAAGCCAGCCTGGGCCGCGCTTTGGCGCCAGGCTTCGCCGAAGCGACGTTCGGCTCGCAGGTTAAGCGCCTTGCCCACCACTGTCAGCCTCAACGCCGCGTCACGAAGCTAAGCTTGGCGCGCCCACGCTTCGCCTACACTTTGGCATTCTGGGCAAGGGCATTGCAAGGGCCCAAACACGGGAAGACTTCAAGACGAAAGCCGAAGCAACACTCATAATTCTGGGGGTTCACCTCACAAACCGGCTGTTTTCGAGCTTGGGCTTTGAAGTTCGAGCTTCGCAGTCAGCCAAGAAAACTGACTCACATCAAGACACTAAAAGGCAAACTTTCGTACCTGTCTCCTGAGATGGAACTGAGGCCATGAAAACCAGGAGCCAGGCACAGATGAAGCAAGCTGTTTGAAGAGGGTCCGACATTCGCTGCAAGCCAACACCCGAAAGATTACACATCGAGATTTCCTCATGTTTCTTTCCTCACAGCACCCTCGAGATCTGAAGCAGCTCAGCGGGTTCACGCAAGCTTGTTAAACCCCAAAACCCGAAAACCGTGACCGACGCTTTTTGAGCTTGGTGTAACTTCTACACTGTTGTGGTAATGGCAGCTGGCTCAAGATTCATATAACATCACCCAGCTTTTTGTAGTCTGTGCTGTCTCAAGAACCTGAAAGCACCTAACCAAGCAACTCATCTATTCCTGATGTTGAACGGACTTCATTGAACCACAACGGCGGCCGCGTCGCCCCAATGCGCATCGGCCCAGGGAGTCTGCCAAAAAGTCGCGACCCCTGGCGTCGCCATCCGGCCTTTCGAAGGATTCGGGTATGTCGGATGGTGAACCTTGCCACCAAGGTCTCGCTACAGTCAGATCTCCACACGGATATGACACTGCTGACTGACACTGCCCAAGATCCTGGAACACGACATACACGACCGCTCACGCCCGGGAATGCCACAGCTCAAACCTGTAACGACTGCCAACACTGACGGCGAAAGTCCGCAGGCGGACGAAGTTATAACGACAGGCATTGTGCTTGTGATGGTGCGATGGAAATTGTGACGGTGTGGTTGATGTATGTTGATGTTGTGGTTGGTGATGTAGGTTGCCATAACGAGCTTTCAATCAAGGTTCTTCGGTTGGCTTTGCATTTTTCCCGCTTTTGCAGTAGCATAAGGGTTCTGATGTCTATAGGGACGAGCAGCAGGTCGAGGGGACGCTCATCTGCAGGCTGGCCGACGCTTCCCGGCTCCGGCGTCTCGTCCGCGATGCAGACCCTGAGAAACTGCTGAGATTGGGCTGGGGGAAAGCAGCTGATGCTTTGTAGCTTTGCACTGGCTTCGGTTGGAGCACTCGTGCCAGCTTTCTTATCCTCTTGGAAAGCGGCCTCGGGGTGCTTCTAGTGTACCACCTTGCAAGAACTACGCTCACATCTTTGAAAGCCGATCCGATCAAAAGGATCGCTCGTTGAACCGCCGCGCGCGCACGCATACACATACACCAATTTGGAGGCGATTGCAAGGGATCAGCTTCAAGCATGCCCTGCCAAGAATGATTTAAACAGATTTAAACACATTGACCCTTGACCCCCAAAGCCTAGACTTTTCAGAGCGTGGGGCCAGTCAGGCGCAAGTCCATCTGGTTCCAGATGGCCTAGGCCGACGCCGCACATAAGTCAGAGTACAGTTTAGGATCAAGAAATCTGGTCTTACTTGTACCATGGATTCTGAACAAGGCTTACAACTCCTTTAATCATGCATTGGAGAACGAGCCAGTTCTTCAGCAGGCATGCAGAAAGGCCCACTGAAGCGAGCAAGCCTAAGGGCGGCTTTTGCATGGGATATGCAGGATATGCTTCGGATCCTGGAGCGACTTATCCTCCGAGTAGTTCTAAGTCGCAGCAGCCACTGTGCCAATGCTTGCCATGCCAATGCGAAGCCCACATGTCCACAGCCTTCATCTCTATTTTGAGGAGGGTCTGCAGTGCATGTGCCCTCCTGCCCGCTTCACCTCGGAGTTCCAAAGACCAAATTCCGAACCCAAGATCTGCTTTGCGTGCAGCAGGCCATTAAGAACCAGCTCCAACAGCCTCGTGGCCATGCCTCGCGGCTGGTCGCGGTTGAAGCACAAGCAACTTGATTGAAAAACACCTCGTTACGCCCTACACTTTATGGGGCAACATGCCCTTGGCCTGCATTTCGAAAGAAGGGCAATTATTCACCGACAAAGGGGGCCGTGCGAACGACCTTGAAGACTGCATATTCAACAGATCAAGCACCTGCAGCCCTGCTCGGGCTAAGGCTTCGCCTGCAGTGTTACAACGTGTCAGTCTACACAAATCCAGAATAGAACTTAAAGCGCTGCCCGGGCGGCGGTCCAAAAGCTCCGAGATCCACGGGGTTCGGGATTCGCATGCCGGGCTCAAGTTGACCTCCAGGAGCCTCGCAGTGATGCTTAGAGTCCTAGCTGTGAAGCCCGTGCCGCAGAATCCCAACGATCCGATTGGAACTTTGACAGGTCTCGCCGCAACCCCTGCGTCCTAGAGCTTCGATCCTGGACCCTCACCCCCATACTTCAAACATTACTTGGCAGGAACCTGGCAAAAAGAAGGGCTTGCAAAGGGGATGCATGTGATGAGCAAAACATTAAGGGATTGAGTGGAGAGGGCGCGGAAGTGGGGGGAGGGGCGGTGGACGTCACGAGGAGTTGGAAGTGTGTCGGATCACTAACGATTGCAGGCTCAGCCTGCACGTTTATGGCACTTGTTCATGGCCGCAAGCACTCGGGCAGGTTGCAGTGTCTTGCAGTTCTGGGCTTGAAGCTCCAAGCCCTAGCCCTGTGCTCTCCCAGGGAAGCAGACCTACCCTCAGAGTACAGGCGCAGCTGCCAATGTCAGGCAAAGTGCGCCCACTACGCCAAGTGTAGGTTGTGTCTACTTCTTACTGCCCTTCAAAGAGCTGAGCCCAAAGTACAACATCCGAAAGCCACTGAGTCATACTGAGTCTCAGGCCGATCTGCGAGCCCCTCACCTCAAGCTCAACCCCTCACAACCAGAACCTTAGCCGCCTTAGCCATTGTCTTTCAGCAAAGGGCCAAGGCTTCAGGTCTTCACCCAGGAGGAAATCAAAGCCATAGACTTCGAAGCAAGAGGACCTTCAAGCGAGGGGCTCAGCGCAGCGTGGCTCGTGCAGTTTTCTAGTTGCATGTGAGTCGAGGTTTTGCCCCCACGGCCGGACATATGAATGGAAGCACACGCCCGTGTCAAAATTGCTTCGTTTTGGAGGTCTTGGGCACATGACGTGCTGGGATGTCACCAGCTATTGGCGTTTTACCCAAACTCGAATCTGCGCCCAGCCCTGCCTTAGCATGCCCTAGCTTTGCCACCGTTGTCTGTCGGACTTCAAGCTGGCATGTCTCATCTTTTGTCAGCGTGCCCCTTCCTGAATGTGTGCACCAAGTTTAATTTGTGTTGAATGTTTGTAGCGGGTGTCGCAACAGGCTCCATTTGGGGAGGAACACACGAGGGCTTCAAACAACGGAGGAAGTGCAAGCATCAGCAAAGGCTGAATGCGCTTATCGACTTCCTACGGCCGGGCTGTTTGTGCGTTGGTTTCCATGGACCTCAACCCATTTCAACACTCAGTGAGCGAGAAGAGTCGCCCTGCCTTTGAACCACCCGATCTTGCACCGATCGGAGGCTGTGCAGGATGCATTCCTCAGGGGGAGGCAGACGAAGGTGACATCCCGTGGCGAACAAAACACCAGACCTCCGAAACCTCAACCTCGAACCACAGGCCGCAGTGTCAAATTCGAAATCCGAAGAAGCCAGCTGGTTCAATGTCTCAGGTCCGAATGTCTCAGACAACGGAAGAATCCATCAGGGCTTCAAGAGCTTCTTCTGCCGGAGAACTCTTCGTGATTTACACGCGGGCAAGGTTTTTGTGGAAGAAGCAGAAACCCTCCGAGCCGGCCTTCAACTGCGGCACGAGATCGTTTTCCCAATAATGTCCTCCAGCAGGAAACGGTGCGTTTGCAGGGCCCAGCTTTTGAAAACTGACGTAAGATCACTCGACACAGCCCTTTTGTCCGACAACCCCAGAAACTGATGTCAAGACTCTGCTGCCCGTCATCATCTCCAGCACATCGTTGAGCCTGCAAGAATCCAGTACCCTCAGGCCACGTCCGAGTATTTCTTAGACTAAAATCGGGGTGTGGTTGGCATTCTGAAAGGCTTCATGTGATCCCCTGATGGCAGGAAGGCTTTGGAATCGTAACAAACGCCGCCAGCTGCAGACACCCTTGTCGGCAGAGTGGCTCACTGAGGCTGGCCACAGCACCAGTCGCGACATGCTTGCCGTTCTTGTTCACAGACCTCGGGTGAAAACCCGGGTCTACAGCATTTAAACTCCTTGGTATATGAGTCAAATTCAAATTCAGCATTTAGCGTTTGTTGTTTTTGGCTCGGCACGGGACAAGGATGCCAGCCATTAATGTAGACATGTTGGTATCGAAAGCAACCTGAAGCTTCGCGGTATTCTGCGCTGGCTTCTGAGGAGGAGCCTTTAAAAAGATTGGTGCAGAGGCCTATACCGAAACAAATGCCCCATCACTTCGGAACCCTGAGGTGGCAATGAAGCCCTGCTGCGACCCTTCGATGACCCGCAACAGTTGCTGTCAAGATCAGCTCGCATATTCGCTAGATTCATGCAGTGACTGCTCGCTGTTCTTGTATACAAGACACCAATTGGATATGTGCCGTTGCCGGTTCGCAAGGTCGCCAAGGTCGTATGGCTCGTTGCACAGGCGGAGGTAGCAAGAGGAGAACATGTACACCTCTCGCAAAGTTGGTCTGCTTCCAAGCCCGACATACGATGTGAGGGTGGTGCTTGTGTCCATCTCCCCTCTATGAATGACTGCTCCCTCACGTCGATGAACCTGAAAACGCCGAGTCAGTAGTGCCATCTTTCTTCCAGACAATGCTCTCCACCAAAAGCCGAAGCAAAGCTGCACTTTCTCTTCGGCTTCCATGACCCTACGTGTACATGAAGCTCCACGTAGATTGGGCCTCAAGTGGTTGAAACGAGCGGACCAGAACCCACTGCCGCAGGTCGAACTTGCGGCCGCTAAAGAGGAGCAAAGGCTTCTCGACGTACCTGCTCACGGAGTTTGCATTCACCGAGCTCCTCAAGCAGCAAAGGGCACTTTTGCACAACTCGATTCGTCGTGTTCTTGCAGTGATGGAGCAGCTCGGGAAGCGTGTTCAGACCTCAGTATCAACCAGCTGGTCCTGCAACTGCATGGCACGGAGCCCTGAAGTCTCAGGGACCAGTGCTGTTAACCCGGCCGACCGAATCCCAGGAGGTAGTTTTGGCCAGGAGACACACCACACCGCTTCCCTTTGAGCTGGTTCCAGGCTTGACAACCTGGGTCTAGCGCTTCAGGTTCTGGGTGCTGTCCTTGCTTTGAGGTCCACCGACTAAATCTGTGACAGCCGACGCTATGTGGATGCCAGATGCCAGCAGGAAGCCGCACACAAGCAAGAGCTGGTCTGCACATGTCTGCACATGCATTGCAGGGTTTCGTTCGGGTCTTCGGTTTGCAACGCGAGAATGAGGGTTCACCTCTTGACCTAAGCCCAAACAGATCTACAGCAAAGCTCGGCCCCGGCATCCGTGGATGGAGGACATCTCACCCGAAGCATGCAAAGACACCAAACAAGTGCTAATTTGAGCCCCTACGTTGTCTGTAGCTAGCCGAAGGAGCCCACACATTCATGCAGCCTGTGGTGGACACCTGTGGCCATCTGGCCTCATGCGGCTGCCGGGCTTCAGGCATGATCTTCTCGAAAATTGACAGCGCCGTCGCTTCAGGCTTGCGGGGGTTCTGAGCTCGGGCCGCTCGGTGATTTATGCTCCTGCTGAAGGCGACCGCATTGATAGCGTAACATGATCACTGCTGCAATGTTCACTTCCAGTTACTGCTTGCGTCAGAAATTTACGTTTGAACCCAGCGACGAAATCCTCTTGTTCGCATCTGGTCTCCGCGGATACAAGCCAGACAACATGCAGCAGCCCACGCGCGGGCGCGGGAGCATATTTCTCTCCACGTTCTCAGTACAGAACAAAGAAGAACAACTAGCGCACGAGCCTCCAGAAGCGCCACCGCTTTCTTGGCGGCTGCATCCAGTTCCGCAGGAGCAAAGGGGCACCAGACATGGCTCCGGAGCCTGCAGATGAAATGCACAGTCAAGCATGGAGACAACTCCACAAACACCATGAACTGTCAACCTAAGGACCATGCACAGCGGTTGCCACTACATGTTCTCCACTCCGAAACGCAATTTCACCCCTGGCTTTGGCTTACTGGACTCAATTGAACTGTTAACCGGGAACATGCAGAAAACCACATGTTATATCACAGGCCCCTAAACCCCAAAATGTGAAATATAAACCTGAAGCCCTCGGATCTTGTGCGCGCACAGGTCTGAGCGTGGGATCTGTTACAGGACAGCGTGTCACGCCCCTTCAGAGCCGATACTTGCAGCTACCATGCCAAAACCTATGAAGCCTGAATGCAGGCACCAATCCCTGGACTCTAAGTCCTAACGGTCCTAACGAAGGAAGAGGAGGGCAAGAGAGTCCCGCTTTGAGCTCTTCCTTTGACTGCATCGTGGTATCAGGCACACGGCACACCATAGATTTCAGGCTTCAGAGTCAAGCGTAACTGATAAGCCAAGGTCCGAGGCTTGAGTTTAAGCAGCTGCTCATTGCAGGCTATGGATTTCGGGATTGCGGTACCAGTACAACTCTCACCGAAATGCGGCTCAGAGACTCCGGCCACTTCTGTGGCTCCTGGCTAATTGGCGGTCTTCGGTTAGGGTGGTTGAGGCGATGCAGTCAAATTTTTGCTGCTTTCATGATGGAACTTTTGAAGCACATATGAATTGCCTGCTCACGTCTAATTGCTCCTGTGCTGTACAGGGCTCATGGTCTGGATGGCTGGGGCAGGAAACAGAGGATCAGCTGCGGGAGAATGCTTTCAGTCGACGCTAAACCAAAGATCCAGCTAGAGAAAACCGGAAGTGTTCCAATTTCCTGAAA